ACCCCCCGTGTGTGTGTGTGTGTGTGTGTGTGTGTGTGTGTGTGTGTGTGTGTGTGTGTGTGAAGCAGATCCCAGAAAATCACCTTGGATTTTGATGAGATATTTGAGCAATTTTTGCACTTAAAGAATCTCACAGCTGACAGTGGATTCATATGGTTCTGTAAGAAAATGAGTAAGAGGAAGCTCAGTATTCTGGGCCAAGAACTAGGCTAGTTTTCCTCAGGAGCATTTGTAGATTCCTGAAATGGCACAGCAATGTGACATTTCATGTGGTTGTAATTAACAGCTAGTTACTGGGGTTCTTTTTATAGGCTCCACTAAAGTGATAGGAAAAGGAAGCTCCATAAGTAAGTTAACAAATTATGATGGGCTGGGAGTCCTCTAGTGTTTCTCAAGGCATCCTGGATTAGAGCAGAGGGGTTTAATATAACCGCAGTTTGGAAAGGTCAAACCTTCCTTGGCTGCCAAGGAGAAAAATGAGTGGGGCTGAGTGTCCAGGTTAGCTATGACCCTGGCAGTGATTGGCTTGGTTTTGGTCATGGTGTACCTTACCTGCCTTTGAAGTACCCACTCTTCTCCAGGCACTTTCCACGATTATCAAGGCTTTTTCTGGAACATCTGAGTTGCCTAATCAGGCATGTTAAGTCTTAGCTATAAATGTTCTGCCAATATTGTTTCTTAATGTGTTTTTCAGTCTTATGTGAACATTAGAATCATTACAGGAATTCAGAAGGCAGTTGTTACACCTAGGCTCCCTCCTGACCTGGAATAAAGGAGGCTGTAGCCTCCTTGAAGTTTTAATTCTGAGGAACTCTAAATTGCAGCCAAGAGCATGGCTGTTTTAACATAACTATGTGCTACATGTTACTAAATGGGCTGTTCATTTATTATTTCAGGTAGAAATAGAAACAAAGTAGATCTTTTTTCCTTTAGCCACACAAGTAGTAATGGGAATAGATACAGTGAAAGGACAGTCATAAAAGCCTATTCAGGTGAGACACAACCTAAAACCAACCAGTTGACAAACCAAAGTGTACATGAAAAGTAAAAAATGAAACAGAAACTATCAGATCAACTAGTATTCCAACTACTCTCAGAAGTGATGGTTCTGGCCATGAGCCTTAAGGGGAGAGGGGTGCTCTTCCATACTGCTAAAGCTCCTATCCTCATGGTGATAGTCAAGTTTAGTCATCTTGTGCATTGGTCAGAACAAGCACCGACAGATCCCAACTTTGAAAGAAAGATTGAGTTGTAAAGAGGCTCTGGGTAGAGTCAGCATATTATGCAGAGTTGTGGTTTTAGGAAGTGGAGGATAAAAATCAATCTGAGACTAGAGAGATGGCTCAGTGGTTAAGAGCTCTACCAGAGGTCCTGGGTTCTATTCTCAGCACCCACATGGCAGCTCACAACCATCTATAACTCCCGTCCTAGGGGATTTGACAACCCATCTGGTTTCTGTGGGCAACAGGCACACACTATGTGAGACACAAACATACATGCAAGCAAAACACTTATAAAATAAATATCAAGTAGCCAAAGTTAAGAGGTTCTCTCAAATAATTTCTATCACATCTTTTCCTGTTCTTGCTTTAATTGTGGGAGACAAGAAACTGACAAATGCATGGAGGTCAGAATCTGTAATTGGTGATGATGGATTGCTCATGTTCTGCAGTGTTTAAAACAGAGCCGACATCTGTGTTCCTTTGAAATCTGCAAGTGATAATTCTGTGTGAGCTTTCCTCAATGACTTCCAAGACTTGCTTCTAACTGTGAAATAGCTGTCTTTGGCCTTGTGTAGTTTTGGGTTTTGCTTTTTGGTTTTCCCCTCCTGGAAATCGGGCCATGATGCCTATAGTGTGGTATGTATTTTTATACAAATGGTAGAATTCACTGGTATTTTATCTCAGTGTTAGGAGGTGGTCACCTCATGAGATTATTTTCCCTTAGGCATTCATCTTAAAGGTTGGTAGATAAAAATTGGTACCTCAACAAATACTTGATGAGTTTAAGTAACTAAGTTACTTATTGTGGCCAGGAAATAGTAGTTTATTGCTTATTTTATCACATAATCTAGTTATCAAATTTGCCTTTTTAGCCAAAAAATAACCTTTTATACATTATATATTTTAAAGGTCCAATTCCAGACAGATAGTTAATGGTCTACAAATACATTATAGCTTCTGTTGTTTTGTGTATTCACAGGCCCCTAACCTACTTCAAACTGTCTGCTTGAGGCTGCTTCTGCCAGAATTCAGGCCCTGGCTTTGTCCTCACTTCTCCCACTGACCTGGGGACTTAGTGCCACTTTTCTATCTAAGCCAGGTGTAAGGTTCTCATATATCACCATGTGCCTCACATTTGAGTCAGTTGTGTGTTCTGGAGCAGTGTTCAAATTCACTCTTGTTTACCTCACAGTAAATATGTTGTCCTCTGATGAGAACAGCTGCTCCAGGATGCTTTCTGAAGCCAGTAGAAATGTAAGGAGCCCAGGCCACAGTATAGTTATTGAGAGATCCTCACTCATCTGTTATCAGATCACTTGCCAGGGTTAAAGACTTGTTGAAGATGGTTTTCGAATGAGGAATCATTGAGTTTTGCAAGATAATGTTCATGGAGAACACAAGTTAACAGGAACCACACATAACTCCTGAGTCTGACTCTTGGATCTCCTGACTGGTCCTCCTAGGCTTAAAATTTCAGTCACGTGATTGAGTCCAGATATTGGAGTTTCCAGGTGTATGAGTCTTTGATGTTGGGTGGAATTGGGATAAGATCTAGAACATGATTTTAAAGCTACATAAAATATATAATGCCTGGGTTTCTCACTTATCTTTTTGAGTAATTTCTGTAATAGAAGCAATCTTTCTAGTTCTCTATTATTATGTGTTTTAAAATATTTAGCTTCCCATTAAAGTTGTTCATTTACACTGTGCTGTTGAATAAGAAATACACTAATGTCTAAGTGGCAAAAAAAATCCTTAAATATTGTTGCAGACCAGTTGACATGTTTTATTATATATGTTCTTTTATTCAAGTTTCTTGTTCTTTTTTCCCAAACTTTTTTAGTGTAAGGAAATTATATAACCTAATGCTTCATTAAATGAGTTTCTGTGGCAGACTGGATTTTATCTCTTTGCCCTGTTGGGCTAGGATATGTCATCTTCAATTGGAGAGATAGCCCTAGCCACATGTGGCCTTTTCACAAGAGGTGTGCAAAGGACTTGCTAGTGTTGTTGCTTAAAATTCTCTTACCATCACTTTGTACCTTCACATATTTTTATATACCTAATTCTAGATTGTTACCTAAACGATTTTAGTTTGATCATATAATCAAAATTATTTCAGTGTTCACAACTCAGATTTATTAATATAAATTATCTCTTGATTTATCTCATAATCATACTAGCTAAACTGTTTCTTCATTAAAATGAATAATTTTTTAGACATGATATAAAATCAAAACATTATTTATAAGAGGTAAATATTAAAATAATATCTAATGAGTGTATGATCGTTTCAGGAAATTCAGGAAATATTTAAAGCATACAAAAAGAAAATAAAGGGCTAGAAAGATATCTCAGGAGCACTGGGTGCTCGTCCAGAGAACTCAAGTCCAATTCCCAGAAGCCACATAGAGGCTCACAACTGTCTGAACTCTGGTTCCAGGGGATCTGATGCCCTCTTCTGGCCTCTGTGTGCACCAGACATGCATGGGGTACACAAACATGAATACAGGCAAAGCATCCTGTAAAAGAAATAATGAAAATTAAGGTCCTTATTAATCTCTTACACAATTGCATTCAATGATAGGAAGCTTTTGAATTGTTTTTTCTCACAGAAAGAATGCCACATAGTTTACAATTCTCTGAAATGTGTTTCTTTTTCAAATTCCAGGGCTGTTCTTGGTCAGTTATATTTGTGGATCTCGACGCTCACAATCGCAACAGGCAGACACTATGCTCACTGTTACCCAGAGAATCACGCTCTCATGTGAGATGATGTGCAACATTACAGTCTTTATGCTGTGTTATTTACCTTTCAAGAAAACATGCTACAGTGTTGAGTTCATTCAGGATAAGGAGATGCGATGCAGATGTGTCTACTCTCTCTAGCTTCTGAGGCTAGACAGGAAGTAAACAGTGTTAGGCAAAGCTGTCTAGTCCTTTGAGTCTTCTGTTAGACTACAGAAAAATAGACATTATTTTTCTATTTTTAACAAAGGAATTATTGTTTTTATGATGGGATATAAAATGATTCATTTTAGCAGGGCATAGTAGCAGACCATGTTTGACTCTTTGTCTTATAAAATTCTGTAAACTTCTTGTACCTGATTGTACATTCTCCCAGGGATCATTTATTGCTTTATCCTTAAAAAACTACCCCAAGTAGAATAGTTAACCATTTTATAAGAGTAATGCCAGATTGTAATGAATATAGAACCAATAAGGAAGCATTATCTGTTTATTTAATGATGCTCTATCTACTTATTCCACCGTTTAAATAGTCTTTGGCTGCATTCTCATACATTGCCACATATTTTAGTGAACATAATTTTTTGCTTTAAGAAATTAGAATAGTGTTTTTCCATGAGCAAGCATGTTTCCATTCAATAAACAAATTTCTGTAATATAAATCTAATTGCCTCTGCTGTATGAATTCTAATGATACTAATTTACTCAATTGTCAGACCTTTTGTTTTTTCTTTTCACTGTTATAGGCAAATTGCTATGTTAACTAAGTTGTGGTAATAAGTATTAATTTTTACATTCTGTTTAGTTATAATCTTTAAGTTACAGCCTAATATTGTAGTTGGAAAATTCTTTTTGTTAATGAATAAAGTGTTACAATTCTGTCAGGTTTACAGAGACTTGTCGTAGAAACATCTGTCTGTCTTAAGCTCACTGCCACTTGATAAGCTTTTGCACTTTACTTTGACATGATGCTTCTTGGACTATTGGTCATGTCACTGCAGACACTTACAGAATTTTTATCTTAATGACCCCAGAACACAGACGCTGCCCTGCTCCCATGCATCAGTTACCCTGCATTTGCCTTGGATGATGAAGTTCTGTTCAGCCAGACACTTGATAAAGTGATCAGAAAATTAAAAGGAAAATATGGATTTAAGCGTTTCTTGAGAGATGGGTATAGAACATCATTGGAAGATCCCAACAGACGCTATTACAAACCAGCTGAAATTAAGGTACCACAAACTGGTCCATCCCAGCACAAGCAAGTGGTTAAAAGCATGTATCCAGGAGACTAACTTCTTGATTTGAGATCCTGCTCCATCTGGTTGTGTTTAACATTGTTTATTGCTAAAAATAATATCACCTCTACCATGAGCTTTTTCTGGGGATGGAATGATTTTATATATCGAAGCTTAGACTTACACTTGATACATAGTAACTGATCAAATAGTGTTAGCTCTTTGTATGGGCCACATGGATTCATTGGTTAAATAATATTTTTTATCATATTCAGTCTTTTGCCTATTTCTCTTGCATGGTTTTGTTTCTATCCATGGTCTGCTTTTATTTTTTTGAGCAAATGATGTCATTAAAGCTAATACTTTGAGCCAGGCATTGTTCATGGGTTTAGTGTGAGCACTTAGAAGCCAGGGGCAGGAAAAGGCAGATCTCTGTAAGTTTTAGGTCAGTCTGGTCTACATAGTGAGTTCCAGGTCAGCTAAGGCTACACAGAGAGACCCTATCACAAAACAAAACAAAGCTCCTTGTACTCCTTCACCCACTCCTCCACCTGCTGGGTACAGCTAGAGAAAGTCACTGACTATGAGTAGGTGCCATGCCAAATACATTATACCCATGTTGACTCAGTGCTTCCTTGTCACTATTTTCTCTTCTTGTCACTTCTGCTATATGATCCCATAGGAAGGTCCCTTAATAAACAAGCAAACCTTGGGCACAAGCTCTCAGTTCTTTGCCTTATTCCTGCTGGGAAGCTTTTGTTTCTGTGTGGCAGCCTCCACTGCATCTTTCCCTTCAGCAACTCTTACCCTCTGTGTCTGACCTCATGGAAGCTTCTGCCTCTCTTTCTTGAGGTATTCTATATGGAGAAATACATAGATACAGACACACATATATATTTCTTTGTGTATATACATCCTGTTTTTTTTTTTTTTTAACTCGTTTTCTTGGAAATCCCACTGAGTATTTTCTTTTCTGATAGGACATGTGACTCTGTTCTACACTTTCCCCACTTCTACCTTCCCTCCATTTTGCTTCTACCAGCTTAGTTTTTCCTTTGGCATAAACACAGTAATGCCCATTACTAAAGATATGAACAAAAAACCCTCCCTCAACATTTATTCTTGTCAGTCTCCTGTCTTCTGTCTGTAGTCATGGTCCTGCAAAGCGTGTTTTGTATCTTGTGTATAGACTTAGGGTATGGTTAATTTACTGGGCTACAGAAATGGAGACAGAAACAATTTACGTGACAAAGAGTAATTCCGGCTCACAGTCCAGGGGCTACAGTCTACCAAGGCAGGGAAGGCATGTCTTTATGTGTGTCTAACAGCTCTGGCAGCATGAGCTATATGTACTTCATGGGCAGTCAAGCTGCAAGCAGAGCCTGTCTGGATTATAACTCTCAAAACCTGCCTCCAGTGCTTGCTCTACTGGCTGCCAGCCCAGCCTTACCTCAGAAAGTTCTCACAGGCTTTCAAAACAGCAGCAACTGACTGGGGATCCCTTGATTGCCTCCTCCTAGCTCTCGGCTGACTCCAGGCAGCTTCAGTGGCTGGCCAGGGTCAGAGTGGTTATTGCGTCTCTCACCTTACTTTGCTGAATCTCTTGGTGTCTGTATCAATTCTGTTCTCTCTTTTGGAGAATTCTGATTGCTGTGACCACATTTTCCCCGCCATCCCTACTCTGTCAGTCTCCATCTCCTTCTACTTCTGTGATCCACTTTCTCTGTGCTTTTCTTCCGACCACACTCTCACAGCTATTGTTGCTAATAATGTGTTCTGTCCCCTACTCAAAGTGTGCCTTAGAGTGTCCTCCTTACGTGTGCACCTGCTGTTCAGACGTACATCTTTGGTGTCCTATAGGCTGCCTGCGTTTAGCTCCTGTTCCTCTGCCTAGGCCCATATCTGAGTCACTCTAGGCATTTCCTTACCACTTAAGCACCATTTAAAAAAATTTAAACATGTTACTGGGTGATGTGTCTGTGTGTGTTCACACACATGCACACACATGCACGTGCCCATCTGTATGAGCGTGCAACAGTGAGCTTATGGAGATCAGAGGACAGCTTCCTGGGAGTTACTTTTCTCACCATGTGAATGGAACTAAGGTCCTTGGGCTTGACAGCAGGGGTCAATCTCTCCACTGAACCATCTTGCCAGCCCCAACCACTTAACCTACTTTATCACTCACAAAATGTGACTGGGACATCCTCTTTAGAAATTCTAATCTCCTCCCCCTTTTCAGTCTTACTCCTTGACTTAAAACAGTTCATAAGCTTGAACAATTTTGTCACCAAACTAGACACTGGACAGGATCTATAGATTTTTATTATTATTATTATTGCTTGAGTTGGTGTCAGATAAGTGGAAGATGGGAATGATACAAAATATCCCATGTTACAATTTGCTCAAAATATCCATAGTACTCAATTTGAGACACACAGTTCTGGGTATCATTGTTTCTCTTTCAGTTGTTCCTATGGCTTTGAGCTGATTTCCTTATTTCTTGTTCCACAACTCTTAAGTACTGCCAGCTGCCCAGCCTGGAAATAAATGTAACAAAGACTTTGACCCTTTTCATTGTTCACTACTACCTCCAAGTCAGCCTGTCATTGAGCAGTGTAAGTCCTGATTTGGCTTCCTGCCCATCCACTAGGCTTCCAGTTTTACTGTTTGTGCCAGTATATTCTAGAACTAGTGAATTATGATAGTTTCTTTAACATGTTTTGAAGAAGGAGTTTCTGTCCAGGTTGGCCCTGCCGCCTTTCAGCCTCAAATAAACACACATAGACTCCTATCATTTCTAAAGTGTTTGGCCAATGGCTCAGGCTTCTTACTGGCTAGCTCCCTCTTAATTATTAACCCAATTCTATTAAACTATGTTTTGCCACGAGGTTGTGGCTTACCCATGATGCTCAAGCATGTTACTCCTACATGGCTTCTCTCTGCCTTCCTCTCCCCAGTATTCTCCTGATCTGGCAGTCCTGCCTATCCTTCCTGCCTGGCTACTGGCCAATCAGGGTTTTATTCATCAACCAATAATAGAAACATATATACAGAAGAACATTCCCCATCAATGTTTTTGCCCCCATAAGTCTATAGTTTCTACTGTTGGCTCTGTGCACAATGTTTTAGCTGATTCCTTGCCATATCACCCTTCCCTGGTGCTTAAGACAGACTCAGGTGTTTCTTAGTCTATTTTCCTGATATGCTGTGTATGGACAGTGTATGCTGAATTGTGGTTACTTATTCATTTGCCAATGTTGTGAGCCTCTGGGGGCACAGTGTCTAACTTTTGTCCCCAGGGCTCTGTCTAGTTCAGCTATTCTCAACCTGTGCTTCATGACCCCTTTGGGCGTCAAATATCAGATATCCCTCATATAAGTTATTTATATTATGATTAATAACAGTAGCAAAATTACAGTTATGAAGTAGCAATGAAATAATTTTATGGTTGGGGGTCATCACAACACGAGGAACTGTATTAAAGGGTCACCACATTAGGAAGGTTGAGAAGGACTGTCTAGTTAGTGCTGAGTGTTTGTGAGTACTTAGTATATATTTATTTAATCACTGCTATGAAGTGAGTTCAATAAATGAGCTTTTGAATAAAAGCTCTGAAAATTTCTTTTTAAAGAACAATTGTTCTCAACCTGAATTTATTACTATAAATAAGTCCCTTGCATATAACCTAAAATGTAGTTGCTCTAGTTTGCTAGTGGAAATCTTAATGTTTTATTTTCTCTTTTAGCTGTTTGATGGCATTGAATGTGAATTTCCCATATTTTTCCTTTACATGATGATTGATGGTAAGTGAACTTTTTCCTGATACTGAAGATATAAAACACGAGTGACTTGAAGAATAGCTGAGGGTTGGGCAGATGTCTCAGCTGGCAAAGTGCTTGTCGTGCAGGCATGAGGTCCTGAGTCTGATCGCCAGCCCCTGCCTGAAGAGCACATGGCTGTAATTTCAGCACCAGGAGGTGGAGACAGGTGGATCTTTGAAGCTATTGGCCATCCAGATTAACCAAATGGATGAGCTCCAGGTGCCGTTCAGGTATCCATCTCATAGAATTGGAGCGGGTTAAGGAAGACATCAGTGTCAATCTCTGATTTCCACACATGCACACACACGCATGTTCACCTGCATGTATTCATAGACATGCACATGAAAACACATACATAAGCCACACTCAAACACACAAAGTAAAAATAATAAAATGGGTGATTTCTTTCATCTAGCAAGAGATTAAAGTTAAGCAATGGTGACAACTCTGCATTTTTATGCTGTTCTGCTTTCTGAGTGAATGCCAGATATTAAAGAATCTTTAAAAATTCTCTCTCTCTCTCTCTCTCTCTCTCTCTCTCTCTCTCTCTCTCTCTCTCTCTCTCTCTCTCTCTCTCTCTCTCTCTCTCTCTCTCTCTCTCTCTCTCTCTCTCTCTCTCTCTCTCTCTCTCTCTCTCTCTCTCTCTCTCTCTCTCTTTCTCTCCCCCCCCTCTCTCTCTCTCTCCCCCTCTCTGCCTCTGTCTGTCTGTCTGTCTGTCTCTGTCTCTGTCTCTGTCTCTGTCTCTCTCTCTCTCTCTCTCTCTCTCTCTCTGTGTGTGTGTGTGTGTGTGTATGATGTATGTGTATGATATATGTGCCTGTGTGTATGAAGTGTGTGCAGGAATTCTTGTGAGTACAGGTGCACGCATGCCACAGCACAAGATTGGATTTCAGTCTTTGCCTTCCACATGCATGCTTAAAGAACTTTTAAAACCACTTTGAAGTCTAATATTGATGCCAGTATCATGTTCATACTTGTAAAGAAAAGCTTATCATAGAAGTCATGAATACTATGGATACTATGAATACTATGATTGAATATCTATAACATTTATGCTTAAGCATAGTGAAATTTCAGTTAATTCAAAATTTAATTCTAAATACTAGAATGACTTTCTGAAATCAATTTCTATAGAAAGTCATAACTATTTACATTTCTCTTCAATTTTATGTTTTCGTTTATATAAAATTTGGCACAATAAGTATAAAAGGACTTAGAAGTTTTTATAAGGCAAAATTTTTGTATGCTTATTGAGCACAGCTAATGTTGGATTTTCTGTTTTAGGTGTTTTTAGAGGCAATCTTGAACAAGTCAAGGAATATCAGGACCTTTTGACTCCTTTGCTTCACCACACCACAGAAGGTATAGTTTTTCTATCAAGAATTCTTTCTACCGTTATTTCCTTGTTTATGTAAGATGTGAGCATCAGTCCTTTATAAGACACAATCATCTATATTATATTAAAAAAATAAGACCTTACCTGAAATTAGAATAATCTCTATTAATTTAGTTTAACAAATTTGTTTTACAAAAGCAGTTTATTAGGCATGACAGGGATGGATATAAATGTAGGTGGTCATGGCCGTACTGATGCTGAGGGAGTTTGCACACGGACACAATTGTGTAGTACTTATGATATAGTTCCTTTACTCTGTGTACTGTTACATACTATAAAGCACCTACTTTGTATCCAAGTCATCAAAAATTATGTGGCTCGGTGAGTGTTACCCCAGCCCTAGACCCTAGGAGGGCTCCCTGGAAAGACTGCATTTGGCTGAAGGCAGGAGCATTGGTATAGGCATTCTAGAGTCTTTGGAGATGCTTCTGGCTTTTACCATTATATTTTGAATGTTTGCCCTTTGACCAAAATGGCATTCTTTGAAGATAAACTCAGTGTTTTAGAAACAGTCAAAATGCCAAATCTTAGGAGTAAGGCTGTATTGGTTTCAAACACCAGAAGGACCCATAAAAAAGCTTAATTGGAAAATTCCCAAAGGAATTCAAGGGCAGTATTCTAGATATCTTTGGTTTGGAAATATTAATAGAATTATAGTCTTCTGAGAGTAGCTTTGGAAATTTGTGTGTAAGTTAAAGTTTTTGGAATTTTGGTGTGCTAGTCCAAACAATTACGTCATCATGTGGACACAAAGCATGAAGTGTCATTCACAACACTGGGCCCCGTTCCTGCTGCTCGTGAAGCTGTGACTAGGTAAGGGGGCAGAGCTCCAGGAATACCTGAATAAAATACTTCATATTTTGTTTTGCCCCTTCAATGCATATACTGTTAAAAGTTGTGAAATGTTTATGGATGGACTTTTCCTTCTTTCTTTCTTCCTTTCTTTCTTTTTCTTGTATCTTTCAAAACAGAATTTCTCTGTGTGGCTCTGAACCAGGGCTGGCCTCAGAGATCCGCCTGCCTCTACCTCCTGAGTGCTGGGATTAAAGGCATGCGCCATTGCCACCACCTGGCAAGCATTTTTAAATTAAAAATAAATGCTACTTTTTAGAAAGGAGTTATATTTTCAATATTCACTTGTCTTCTTTGAAAAATAGTGCAATAGGAAAATATCTGAAATTTCTGCAATCAGGTCTTTTAGTATTCAGGAAGGGATCATTGAAACATGAAAGTTGTCATGTAACATACTCTACTTTTTGGCTTCATGTTCAGTGTGATGTTCACAGTATTCCCCATAGATCACAACCCCTTTCCCTGATTTTAGACACATTTGTCGCTATCAATTGATGGATGAAGAAAGCAGCAGAATTTCAAGGCTATTGTTTAATTTTATTACAAAAATTAAGTTTACTATAGATTGCTGTAACAAAAATCTGCCGCACCCTATAAGGAACATATCCTTTAAATAATAATTTCATTTTCTGAAAGGTGTATCTTTAAAAGCTATGTTTTAATAAAAGATTGATTTCCTTTAGTGACACTGAAGTGTAGAAAACAGGCTTAATATTTAAATAGGGGTTTATGTGCACTAACCAATAGCTCATAAATATAATTAATTAAAGATTAAATAGTCTTTCATTTACAATGCTTCTATAGACTGATTTTTATTTAAAATAACTTCTCTTATGGCTCTGATTATCTGTATACTATATATACATAAATATTACTGAGATATATGTATGCACATATACATATATACACATACACACTTGCATGTATGCACATATATACATATGTATATGTACATGTATACATGCATGTGTATATATATACATACACACATACACACACACACACACACACACACACACACATATATATATATACTTGCTGCTAAAGGAGATATACATATGTCACTGTCTAAAGCCTAATATACAATGGAATTAGTTCTAAAGTCAAGGAATTCTTTTTCCCCTGTGTTTGCCTAGCAATATCTGAAGGGACCAGAGTGACACATTTCTCTGTAGTTCACTGAATCTGCTCCTGTACAACCCACCACTGTCCCTGCTATTCTGTCCTCACAGATGCTTCAAAGGGAACTTTGTGGAGACAGTTTTATTTTATTTAATATGCTTGCTTCTAAATTAAATTAAATTTTATTTTATTTTACTCTTTAGGATATCCTGTTGTACCAAAGTACTATTATGTGCCAGCTGACTTTGTAGAATATGAAAAGAGAAACCCCGGTAGTCAGAAACGGTTTCCTAGTAACTGTGGCCGTGATGGGAAATTGTTTCTTTGGGGACAAGCTCTTTATATCATTGCGAAACTCCTAGGTAAGTAGAGAAGATTGGGAGCCTATTTTCTTTCCCTGTTATCAAGCTGTTAGCAATAAATATATCTTGGTTTTTTTTCCTTTGGGTGAAATTGGATTTGGGTGGATTTCACAGTTATTTCTTTGGGGAGTTTCTAGATTGTAAAAGTAATAATGGTATCTAACAGTCCCCGAGAGAAAAGTGCAGTAGGTTAGGGTGCACTACAACTGTGTGTGACTGTCTGCATCCAACAGGAGCTTCTAGCAGAAGGCTGGGAAAACTTTGAGTTGGTTTTGTGTGGTATGAGAACATTCCCAACTTACTTTAACCAGTGCTTTTGAGCATTGCTCGTAAACTACTTGGTCATCTCTGAAAGTTGTCTATTTTTTTCCAGTAAATATATGTTGGTAATTTTCTTTCCTACCTAGTGGCTTAAAGAGACCAATTATAATTATTTGAATAATTAAATTTTAGCTATTTCTATAACTGAATCAGAATATCCATGAGCAAATTTGACAAAAGACAAAAGACTTACTATGTATCTTCCTATCTCATACTTCTATAAAATTTCTAGTATTACTAGCATTTTTACCAAAAAGGCTGTCATTTTAGAGTCAGAACCCATGTATGATGGACTATGAAACAAGCTAACTAACAAACAAAAACAAAACTTCTCCCTGTATGTTAATCTATTGCCTTGGTTGTTTGAGACTGTATATATAGATGTTTGTTTGTGCTGGAAGGATGATAATCTTTGCCTTATTTTCATCATTCATGAGGAAAGATTTTGGAGGCCAGTTTCGCAGGGGTCAGATTGAAGTTACACAAAAGCAAATAAAACCAGGCTAAGAGCTCAAGCCGATGGGCAGGCACTTCTGTTGCTTTCTTTCTGTGTCTGTTTTCTTGGTCGTGGTGTAAGTTTAACCCTAATTAAAGAATGTAGGAAAGTTTTCTATACAGGTGTTGCTTCCAGTTTCATAGAAAAGACACAAAGACTAATACTGGCTAGAACCCTTAAGTCCATTTCATTCGTGTGAATAGAAGGAAGTTTTTTGTGACTTAAAGCTAAATTAAACATTTTCTAGCTGAGGGGCAGTTCACTGAGCTATACTTGAAAAATGCAAAGGATGTGATGATTTTTTTTCTGTGTGTGTGGGTCTGAAAACTGACTCCCTGATCTGGGACTTGAAGTAGTGAACCTTTTTCTTTCTAGTGTTCAGTAAATATCCAGCTTGGAGTTGCTGCAGTTGGAAAGAGTGATAGCTTAGGGCAGACCCTGGGGAAAGTTGATGAATGAGGAAGCGAATCAGCTGCACTCTCCATGGGCAAACTGACCTTTATAATCAGAATGTTAGAACACTCTCCCTCAGCAAAAAGAAGTGCTGCCCGTTCTCACCCAAACCAGTGTCTGATGTGTGCAGGTCTTTAACGTAGGCCGCATTTTCCTGTGAATGGGAATGTACAAGTTAGGCTTCCACTTCTATTTCATGGCTGAAATGAGCAAAAATGCTTCGGAGCTGTGCTAAAAAGAAGGCTCTCTTTCCCTACCAAAGTTCTGAAAGGCATTGGAGAGCATTCAGGAGGAATGCTGCATGAAGCCATGTGCTGATTTCCATCTGGGAGAAGAAGCAGCTGTGCTGCACCCCACCGTGTTGGCCTGGCCGCCATCATCTGGTCACATGTGTTAGTTTGCGGCAGCGTTTAGGAGGCTGGATTATTTAGCTGCCGCTCTGAATTCTTGGCCATTTCATAATCCATCAAGCGTCCATGAATAGTCACTAAGATCCTAGACACAGTATTTACTACAAAGTTATATTGATTCATTAAAGGAACTTCAGTTTAATATCCTCACAATGCAAATAAAAAAGAGTTAACTGGAGTTAGTATTTTTACTTTCGAATCATGTAAAAGTCAATGAAAATTGAATCTTTACAAATCCTGACTTCAAAAAAAAACCAAGAAAATAAATACTTTGACTTTCACTAATTCTAATCAGTTCTTATCCTACTGAAATCTAGTAAGGGTTGAATGCTGTGTGTATGTCTAAGTGAACTTTATGCAACAAAACTATGTGCCTTTTCTTCTGGCGATCAAGTAAGCTAATATGTATACTGTTTTCTTAGTACCCACTATTTCAGACCATGATTCATTTTTTACAATTTATCATTTTTCTTAGACAACCAACTTATAGAAAGTCAGAGTTTCTATTTAGTAAGTAAATTATAAATGTTTATTTTAAGTCACATGATATATTTTAAGATCTATTTGACTTGTCTTGAACCCATTATCTGTCATGCTTTCAACTCTTATTTAACTTGAAAACGTTAATACCAATCACAAGATTGTTCTATAGAACATAGAGTAACTTTTTTTATGTTTTCATAAAAACAAATAACTCTAAAATTGTGATCTTTGAGCTAAAATATTTTTGTAGGAGTACAGGAGGTAGCTCTAGTCAAACGCCTTTTAAAATATTACCTAATGAAGTAGTGGGTTTCTACTATGGATTTTTCATACTTCCTTAGTTTTGTTGTTTGTTTGCTTGCTTGCTTGCTTGCTTGTTGGCTTTGTTCCCCCCCCTTTTTATTATTAATTCAAGTTAGGGAACAGGCTTGTTTCACATGTACTTCCCCTCTCCCTCTCCCTCCCCTCACCCCCATCCCTCCACCCCCACCCCCAACCTACTCTCACCCCATCCACCCACCACTTTCCAGGCAGGGTAGGGCCCTCCACGGGGGCTCTGCAAAGTCCAACAAATCTTCCTGTGCTGGGCCTGG